AACAGTTAGTCTTAAATTACACCAATGGTCTGTTTTCAATTCCTACGCTAGACTGCATTATTATGTACCTACATACACATACATATGATATAAATATATATATAAATTATAAATAATAATATCTAAATTATACATACTTTAAAAAATAATCAAAGTAAAATTATATGTCAGGGCCTAAAAGATAGCAGGGAGAAAGTGACAAATTGCAATATGAGACCCATCTTCTCTGATTGGGCATAGGCATCAAAGCACCACATGCTGGATTCACACTGTATCCGATTTGCGTCGTACGACGCAAATCGGATGCAGTGTGAATCCAGCATAAAGAATGGACGAATCACAATCAATTATTCTCCTCGCATTTGACTGTAATTGGTCAAATCACATCTTAACTGTTACTGTTACAGAAATTTTGTCTGCTGCAACCTTATGCTGGATTCACCTTGCATCCGATAATCACAGTCGAATGTGAGAAGAATAATCGACTGTGATTGGTCAATTTCTTACTCTTACTTCTTACTCCGTGTATTGTAGACGGGCCTTAAGGCGTTGTCTACAATACGCGAAGTAAGCTTGGTTTAAGAAGGAATAGTAAGAAACTGACCACTCACAGTCAATTATTCTTTTCACAATCGACTGTGATTGGTCAATTTCTTACTCTTATTTCTTAAACCAAGCTTACTTCGCATATTGTAGACAACGCTTAAGAAATTGACCAATTACAGTCGAATCCGAGAAGAATGAGCAATTGTGATTCGCCCATTTCCTATAGCTTAAGGCTTAAAACCCTATTGTAGATCCAGACTAATTCAGCAGATTTAAGGGTATATCTACACAAACTTGCATAGTCGCATAAACGTATGAATAAAAAAAATTAGTCAATCGCATTTCTCCTATAAAGACGCACGTAAAATGTGATTGGATAATTTTCTTTATGCATATGTCTATGCAGCTATGCAAGTTTGTGTGGATATACCCTAAGGGCCATTCCATACAACTTGCATAGCCGCATAAGCATGTACATAAAGAAAATCATTCATTCGTAGTTTACGTTTGTCTTTATAACAGAAATGTGATTGGATAATTTTTTTTATGCATATGGTTATGCGGCTCTGTAAGTGTGTGTGGAATGGCTCTAAGGTGTTTCATGCCTTATGCCGTAAGAAACTAACCAATTACAGTCGAATCCAATTACAGTCGAATCCGAGAAGAATAAGCGACTGTGATTCGCTCATTTCTTATGGCTTAAGGCTTAAAACCCTATTGTAGATCCGGGGTTAAGCGGGGAGCACAGACTCTTGCATAACGCATAACACATGAGGCATAAGAAATTGAACCAACCAGAGTTCTCTATTACATGGAAGGGAAAGAAACGGAGAACTTCGATTGGTACATATTCTTATGCATTACGTGTTATGCGTTATGCAAGAGTCTGTGCTCCCCGCTTTAAGAGCCATTCCACACAACTTGCAGAGCCGTGTAACCATATGCATAAAGAAAATTATCCAATCACATTTCTGTCATACAGACAAACGTAAACTACGATTGAATGATTTTCTTTATGTATATGTTTATACGACTATGCAAGTTGTGTGGAATTGCCCTTCAAAGACCATCTACATAAATTGCAAATGCAGAACGCAGTTCGCAGACGCATTTGCGACAGCCAATCAAAAGCTGTTATTAGTACTATTGGCACTTCTGATTGGCTGTCGCAAATACGTCTGCGAACTGCGTTCTGCGTTTACGACTCATGTAGATGGCCCTTTACGGTCATTGTTGCGGAATTTTGTGTGCGGCAGCCCTAAAGCCTATAACTATAAAATACGAATACACCGAATACACTTATTGAGTGTGATCCACTTAACGCTGCAAATACTTCGTTGACCAATCAGAAAAAAGAATTTTACAAATTGACCAATCAAAGAATGCTTTAAAGCATTTGCAAAGTGGATCGCATCCATTGTGTATTCTTTTAGATCATCCAATTAGCATTTTAAATCTGGAAGAATACATCAATAGCAGCTCACTCAACTATTGAGTCCGTTGAATGCAGCCAATGAGCGAGTTCAAGACGGCAAAGCGGCTAGGCATGCTTACCGAGCGAATGAGCATGATTGGTTCTTATCTGTAGATCCAACCAATCATGTTTAATTGCTCAGCGAGCAGACCTAGCCACTTTGTCGACTTGAACGCGACCATTGTGTTTCCGGCTTTTCGTTAATCGAAGGAGGGCGCCATCTTCTCTCGCCGTCCTCTTTCATTTTTCCTTTCGTGAACGACGTTGCTGTTGGAAATATCCTGACAAGATGGGTCGTATGCACTCACATGGGTAACATAACAATATTTATCGTATCGTCGACGTAATCTCTTTAATTTTTTGTTCGCCGCAACGCTCGATTTACCAAGATCCTCGGCGTCGAGATGTTCTGTCGGGGTGCACAACCAGTGACCATGTGTTTATGACTGTTCTTTTCATTCGAACGATCAATTACCCTATCATTTGTCGGTTTTATAATTTATAATTTACAGTTGTTGAGCGATCTAATGATTCGGCTTTTTTGTATGCCATGTATCTTGGTAAACCAAGCACGCTGCTTTTACGAATACATAACCTATCACGTGTACGCATGGTGTGACCGCGATCGTATTATGGCGTTATTCCTCCTGTAACTGCAATGTCAGTGAAACATTTGTCAAGCACGAGTATTTAATCAAGTTACTGACATGCAATGTTAATTTTTTTGTTAATCTTTAACTGTATAGTAGAAACATGTTTAATAATAAAGAACTTAATCTTTTACATCTAATATAAGAAAGAGCCAAAGACTGGCAAAGACAAAAGATATTATAAAATATTGGATTTAATATTTTATTACGTTCTTATATCATTATATTGGTTATCAATAATTGGTCATTATTTAGCTTGTAACTTTTTATTACTGTTATTCGTTTTTTTTATACAATACATAGTTTTAGTATTTTCATACAATACAGATACTTCTAGAAAATTACTTCCTAAATATTCTTGTAATGTTGTATTTAAACAATTTTTAAATATGATTTATGTAACTTAATTCATTATATATATATTTTTTATAGTTTAAAATGATGAATATTATATGATGGCATATTGTATTTCTCAGAAAAGGTATATCTCAGTCGGCGCTTCCTTACCGACGAAGTGTACCAACTTGGTTGAAACTAACACCAGAAGATTGCAAAGAACTTATCTACAAGCTAGCGAAAAAAGGACACACACCATCTCAAATTGGTAATTTTGATACATATTCATTTTTCCGCTAATAAAAGCTTTACTAGTTGCTAATTTAAAGGAATCAATATATTTGAAAGCAAACTCTACACAGGGGATCTTAGAATTTTTAATTTGATTCTCTCAAATATGTTTGCAAGATTATAATAAGTGATGTTTGATGCGAATTTGATCATTTGTCATTTCACAATAGGTCATCACTAATACTTTTATGAAATAACAAGTTTGATAATTACACAGGGCCACAAAAAAAAAGTACCCTGTACTGGGGTGGAGACCCAACTATTCTTATGTATTTTGAGTCACTGAATACGAATCTGACATCAAAATAAGACCATCCAGGGTAAATACTAAGTATAAGAATATTCAAGCCTATGACGGTCAAAGCTCGATCTTTTTTGCCTAAACAATTCCCAGTGAATTATCTATATCCTATATATGTACATGCATATATATCATTTTTATAGTTATTCAAACTTTTTCCAGACTCTATCTAACGCAATTAAACTACTGCAATAATATCACAAGTTAAATTAAATTGACAATGTGCTGAAAAAAACCTTAAATAAATTTATTATGAAAAATATTACCTCGGCCGGGACTTGAACCCGGACCTCCTGTAATCCGTACGAGCGTCCTAAGCCATTAGACCACCGAGGCCTTAGTAAAAGCTCGTACGGATTACAAGAGGTCCGGGGTCAAGTCCCGGCCGAGGTAATATTTTTCGCAATAAATTTATTTAAGGTTTTTTTCAGCACATTGTCAATTTAATTTAACTTGTGATATTATTGCAGTAGTTTAATTGCGTTAGATAGAGTCCGGAAAAATTTCGGCGCGCAGTTTGAATAACTACAAAAATATGATATATATGCATGTACATATATAGGATATAGGATATATAGGATATATAGGATATAGGGAATTGTTTAGGCAAAAAAGATCTAGCTTTGACCGTCATAGGCTTGAATATTCTTATACTTAGTATTTAATTCTTGTTGGTTCGAATAAAAATCTTATTATCCAGGGTAAATTTTCAATCTAGAGCGAAAAAATGGGAAAAAATAGGTAATTTTTCACTTTAAATTGAAAATTTACCCTGGATGGTCCTATTTTGATGTCAGATTCGTATTCAGCGACTCAAAATACATAAGAATAGCTCCACCCCAGCAAAGGGTACTTTTTTTTGTGGGCCTGTGTTATTAAAATGGCAAAAAGAAACATGTATAAGACAACATACTTTGTATTTTTATAGGTGTCATACTTCGTGACTCACATGGAGTAGCACAAGTACGATTCCGTACAGGAAATAAGATTCTACGCATTGTAAAGAGCATGGGTTTGGCTCCCGATCTACCAGAGGATCTCTATTACTTGATCAAAAAGGCCGTCGCGGTACGAAAACATTTGGAGAGAAATCGAAAAGATAAAGACTCCAAATTCAGGTTGATTCTCGTCGAGTCGAGAATTCACAGGTTGGCGCGTTACTATAAGGCAAAAGGATCTCTGCCGCCAAACTGGAAATACGAAAGTTCAACGGCCAGTGCTCTTGTAGCTTGATTTTGTTTGTATTCATATATTGATTTAATAAATTTCGAAGAAATTTACTTTTTTTTATTAATACTGCCACTACGAATTAGGTTATTACACACGCGATGTACATGTACACATATACACGCACACATGCAGCCTGTTTGATAACAAATGTAATACTTTTTCAGTTAAACTAAACTGGATAGAATAGTCTTCTACCTTTTCGTAATTCATTAAATATTAATTTAGAAGTTGTAATTTAGAAATTCATTAAAAATCCACAAATGAGCAAAAATAATTCGAAATAGCCTTTCATTAACATAATGGCCTTGCAAAGTACATGCGAATTAGAAAAAATTAACAAAAATTCTACTGAGCCAAGAATTTTTCGGATTCTTGAGATTGGTTTTATATTTAATTAATACTTTCTTTCTGTATGCATAATAGATCAATTTAAAATTCTTTTTTTATTTATCCTGATTTGAATGAAATGATAAAATCTAAAAGCTACGCGCGGCCTAAGAACATAGAATTTTTAATTAATATTCATCCGATACCACCGGATATTCCACTTGATGAAGTAGCAAAAGTAGGCGCTTGTTCTTAATCGACGAGACACGAACGCCGTACGTTGTCCCCCGCATTCCAGATCCGGGACATGGAAATTGTTCGACACAACGCCTGTTGTTTGTCGCTGCAATAAACTGCACTAAAACTTTCTATCTTGCTTTCGCCAAACTTAAAAATACATACTTATTTTAAGTACAAGTGTAGTTTAGCCAGAACAAATAGATCTAAAGAGACTAAAGAGAGCGAGAGTAATTCTTCATGTTCGCCTTGATGACTGGACGCCTGTCACGACTTCGCTCTCTAATCAGGGTACTGATCATGTAACTTTTCCCCTGTATGAAGGAAACGTGAAAAGTTTTCTCCATTAACTTCGATAATAAAAATTTTCACTTTTCACGGCTTTTCTCTAGGGAAATATTTTTATGTCTGTTAAAATAAAATATAGCTGCAAAATTATTGCAATGTTTAGAGAAATATTGCAGATGTATTGTTACAATATTCCAATAATCCAGTTTTATTGCTAAAATATTGTACTGATTAGCACAATCCAAAATGTACTTTACAACTGTTTAAAATTCTTTGATCTTACCTTTAGTTCCTTACTTGAATGTTCC